ATCTATGTGGCTTGCGGTCTAAAGTTTAGTAATGGAATTTCTACTGCAATTGCATGGGGTATACTATATCCGGACGACATTTATGACGTGAAGACAGACAAACAATGTTCAGCTCAGTGGTGTACGCAGTTTCGTTGAAATTCAACGAAAGGATACAACATTGACATTTATATAATCGATTCAATATCGTTGTCACATACTGACAAACTTTTTTTTTTTAACGAGAAAAATATTTAGAAACTAAATTTAACAAAATGAATAGGAGAATATTATTTAAAATACAGAATTTTCAATTCTAGGTAATTAAATTCTTATTCAGTGGTGTTTTAATCATTAGGACATTACGATCTCATTGAGGAAAAAAAATCATGATGAAACAAAGCAAAGGGATTGAGCTTATTTTAGCTATGCTACATCTCCAATAACTCTTTATATAGAAATTACGACAAATTTCGCATACTGATACTACTCCTAGAAAGTTAGGTATTTACAATGGGATTCATCGGTCTCCATTTAGCCTTATAATGGTGCCCACCCATTTTCAGTATTTTTTACGCTTTTTTCACGTCAGTCAGCTGAAATGCACCATTTTGTGTTCTCTCCGCCATAAACCTTCAGTGTTGGTCCACTTCTTCGGGTTGTCCCTTTACAATAGTATGGTGAGTTTCGGCAAGTTTCTCAACGGATTTGTCTGTGATTTTTATACCCTTCACCACACTATATATTCTTTGTGCATATGTTAATGTAAACGGTTCCTATATATCTTCCGATTTGCACGAAAATTGGCACAGCGTAATGAATTAGGTCTAGAATGATGTGTGTAAAATTTCATAAAAATCGGTTCAGATTTAGATATAGCTCCCATATATATCTTCGTCCGATTTAAATTGTGTACCAAAGCCCCTATATATCTTTCGATTTGCACGAAATTTGGCACAGCGTAATGAATAAGGTCTAGAATGATGTGTGCAAAGTTTCGTGAAAATCGGTTCAGATTTAGATATAGCTCCCATATATATCTTCGTCCGATTTAAGGTAAATTGTGTATCAAAGTCCCTATATATCTTTCGATTTGCACGAAATTTGGCACAGCGTAATGAATAAGGTCTAGAATGATGTATGCCAAGTTTCGTGAAAATCGGTTCAGATTTAGATATAGCTCACATATATATATATATATATATACATAGCTCCTATATATAGCTTCGCCCGATTTGAGGTAAATAGTCCACTAAAGTCCCTGGAAATCTCTTGGTATAGCGTACTGAATTAAGTCTAGAATGATGTGTGCAAAGTTTCGTGACAATCGGTTCAGATTTAGATATAGCTCCCATATATATTTTCATCCGATTTAAGGTAATTGGTGTACCAAAGACCCTATATATCTTTCGATTTGCACGAAATTGGGCATAGCGTACTGGCATTTGGGTCTATAATAATTTGTGCTAAGTTTCATGAAAATCGGTTCAGATTTAGATATAGCTCCCATATATATTTTTGCCCGATTGTAGGTAATTGGTGCACCAAAATCCCTGGAAATCTTTTCATTTGCACGAATTTTGGCATAGCGTACTGAATTAAGTCTAGAATGATGTGGCAAAGTTTCGTGAAAATCGGTTCAGATTTAGATATAGCTCCCATATATATTTTCGGCCGATTTTATGTAATTGGTGCACCAAAGTCCCTATATATCTTTCGATTTGGGATTTGGGTTTGAAAGGTTTTTTGTATAGAAGCAATAGCTTCTGGGGAGAATATCCCAACAAAAAACTAAGGGACCTTATGAGGATCAGTGGCGTGATCCGAAACTATAGTCTTCCCTGCCTTACCCCTCGGCAATCAATGCCATACATTCCCCACTAATAGATAGTTGTTTTTCTTTATAAAAACAAAATTCAAATGGTATCCCAAATAAACCGCCAACACTACTGAAGTACTGAATTAAGTCTAAAATGATGTTGCTAAGCTGCGTGAAAAGATCCATAGCAAGGCCGAATGACACAACGTACTGAAGTAATATAAATTAGTCTCTGGCAATTTTCCCTGAAATCGGTTCAGATATAGATATATAACAAAATCGCGTCGTCTGTGGGATACTATGTAGAATATACCCAAAGTGGTGAAGGGTATCATATAGTCGGCCCAGCCCGACTTTACTAATTTCCTTACTGGTTTTTTTCATTCACGTTGGGTACCCAATCTTACTTACTTACTTAGCTGGCTTTTTAGAGAACGGTTGTTCAATAAACCGAACTTAAAAAAAAAGATTTCCAAGCGCGTCGGTCTTGGGCGCATCTTCTCCAATTTGATTCTACTTGGTCTTTCCATCTAATTCGTGGCCTTCCCCTTCTGCGTGAGCCATCAGAAGGCTCGCTTTTATATGCCTCTTGAGCTGGGGCAATCTCATTTATTCGCTCAACATGGCCTAGCCACCGTAGTCGCTGCAGCACAATACGATTGACTATGTCAATGTCCGCGTATAGATTGTAAAGCTTGTGGTTCATTCGACGCGATATTCACCGTCGACGCAGATCGGCCCGTAGATCTTTCGGAGAATTTTTCTCTCAAACACCTGAAGAGCTGACTCATCTCATCCTCACAGCACGGGTAGTATCAGCGTCTTGTAAAGTGTAAGTTTGGTCTGGCGGGAGGTGGCATTGTTTCTAAACTGCTTACCTCTGCCATAGTAGCATCTGCTGGTCAATACTATCCTTCTCCGAATTTCAAAACTGATGTCATTAGTTTTGTTTATGGTGGTACCAAGGTATATAAAATCTTTAACTACCTCGAAGCTGTAGTTTTCAAGTTCCACAGTTTGCCCGAGTCTACTGGACGTCTTGCGCGTTGATACTATCAGCGTGGATATCCAATCTCTCTATATAAAATATAGTTTTTTAATTTTATTTGTTCGTGTAGAACACATGTTTGTTATTTTTAGGAATCCTTCAGCTGTATTTATAAACAATTCCTATTGTCAGCGAAATATTGATCCTAGACCCAACCTTTGGTATACTCATATACAAAATGTCATATATTGACATTTTGTTCTTGTCAATTTTTAACCTGAACACCTATACATTTTATACGGGAAACATCATGGCTGGTTTTAAAATGATTGGTCAATATTAAGTGGGTCAAATGGACCAAGACTTTTGTGAAAAAAATTTTATTGGGAAATCATTCCATTGCAATGTCGAACGAGTATAGTATAGACACGAGGGGTAGCTGACCTTTAACGTTATATAAATTGACTTATATATTCGGACATGGGTGTTATATTAAATTGTTCACAGGGGTTTTCACCGACCCGGAAATTAGTTTCGCATTGAAGTCCAGTGGTAGTTGTGTAGGGTACCCTGGGTTGCTAAATGAAGTACTGAAAGTGATAAATTGACAAAACTGTTTATGGTACACTATTTAAGGATATGCTTTTCCTCATTTAAAAAAAAAAAAAACATGTTTTTGACTTGGGTCTCCAATAACGATTTAAAATCAAGGTCCAAATGAACCCGACATTTCAATAGCTACTAGAAACCAGTGAGCGGAGAAGTATAGTCGGACGGGGCCGACCATATGATACCCTACACAACTTCCATGAAAATCTAACTTTCTGTGGTTCGACATTCTGAGCATGGAAAATATTTCGCGGTATTTGAACTCTCTTGACCGACTAGAGGTCAACAATTATTACTAATATTCAGTGCACCCCTTCTAATTACTTGTCCAGAATCCCTTCACCTTGGGTTGTGTTGTGATGATCGCCTTTCAATTCTGGCCAATACATCGACTCGAAAAAAAAAATACAAAAAAAAATATGTTTTCGGTCCACTTCATCCCAATATTATTATCTGATCATCACCATCCTCATCATCCTCATGAACAATTTGAAAGCGATCAGCGTTAGGATTTTTGTTCCATTTCATTCCCTTAGAACCCATCCTGCATTCAAAATTTCGCGAAGATTGGTCCATAACTGTGGCCTGTATCGTGTTTACAAATTATAATGGACAGACGGACCGACGGACACACATGTCTATCTCGACTCAGCTTGTGATATGTGTCGTCCATAATCAGGTATATGAAATCCAAAGAATATATATCTACTAGCAGTATATTAAATATAAGCGTTAAAGATGGGTTAAAGATGGGTCTAGGACCAATATTTCGCGGCGTTACAAACTCTTGGGGCTGCACAAAGCTATAATACCCTGACAACATAGTTGTGTAGGGTATAATCAATAACTATAAAAAAAAAATAATAATATAATAAAGAACTGTTTGACATAGGAAGTTGAAAGTAGGAAATTGGCCTAACGGAACGATTCGACATCGAAGGGCTTTATTGATGAAATCCGTTAAATGTATATCTTATGTGAGGCAAAATGACTATAACATAATGGCGATATAATGACATCAATAATATCAAGTTAAAAAATAGTTTTTTTCATCACAGAAAACATATCCGTTACAATCGGATGAACATGGAGGGATGGGTATGTCGACCACTAAAAGCTTAAAGCACGAAGCTAACATTCTAAGCCATGATACTGTCCAATTCAGGACACTAAAAATATAGGAAATTACAATATTTTTCCAAAATAATGTTTTCTGAATATAATTTAACCTTTTTTATCCTGGAGGACAGTCTTGATCTTGAGATGAGCATCAAAATCCTTGATGTGTGTTCTAAGGCTATATTAGTCAAAATACCCATCTCCCTCCATTCCCAATTTGTCGTGACTGTTATATTTTCATTAATACAAATTTGTGTACTTCTCAAACAATACATTTGATATTATAGATGTCAATATAAACCGATATTTCCTCCAATCCGGAAAAAATTGATTGAATTCTTCATTAAAGCCTTCCGAAGTCGTACAGGGTGAGATAAAAAACTGCAACGAAGTCAAACGCCATAATTTTTACATTTTTAATTTTATTGAATGAAAGAAAAAAAATTTAAATTTTAGAATAAGTTTAGATTTGTTCGAATTGGTCACCTTCGGCACGAATTGTGTCCTTCAAACGGCCAATAAAACCATCACAACCTGCCCGAATGTTGCTCTGTTTTGGCCCTTTCCCGGCGAAGCGCTTGCTTGAGGTGATCGACACTTTGATATTTTTTTAGTGTCAACCTTGCTTTCCAAAATACTCTAGACACAATAGTCCAACGGATTGGTATCCGGAGATTTTGGTGGCCACTGTGTGCTGGAAATGAAGCGAGGAACCTCATTTTGGGTGGCGCGTGCTGAGTCCTGTTGTAATAGTCCGCGGCCTAAATGTTTGCGGGCCGAAGGCTTTAATACACCCTCCAGAATATTTTCGCGATAATGTTCGGAATTTATGTTGATGACACGGTTGATTAATAAGAGCGCAGACCGGCCATCGGCTGTTATGGCGGCCCACACCATTACCATGGCCGGCGCTTGAGTTCTGGTGGTCAATCGAAGTTGCACATTTTCAGCTGACATCTTTGGCAAGTAAACACGATCATTTTGTTTGTTTACAAACTGCTGGATAACGAATGTTTTTTCATCGGAGAAAACCAAATTCGCCAATTCACTACTTTCGGCCAAGCGAAGCAACTCTTTAGCTCTTTTGAGTCTATTTTCTTTCTGTTGCGGTGTAAGTTCATGCACTTTTTGGAATTTAAATGACTTTACCCCGAGCTAATTTTTCAATATTTGCCGAAAGGAATCTTGCGATATGTTCAGCCATTTTTCGGCCACTGCGACGCGGGTTTCGATCAAGTCGCTTCTTTACTTTCCAAACCATTTCTGCTGATGTTGATGTTTTCTTCCGCCGATTTCCTTGACATCAGGCTATGCTACCAGTATCAGGGTAACGAGTGATGAAAACTACTGAAAATTAGGAGGTACCGTTATATGGGGGCTACCAGAAAAAATGGCCATATATGTAAAATTTTTTGTGGAGACATTTAGTACCCAATAAGAACCCAATGTAGGAAATTTCAACGAATTCGGTTAAAAAACCCGATCAAGAACCCCAAAGTACCGAATGTTGGGGGTTACCCTTATATGGGAGCTATACCTAAACGTGGCCCATCTTCGAACTTGACCTGCCTGCAGACAAAAGACTCTATGTTAAATTTTGGCGATCTATCTCGATTTGTTTAGACGCTAGAGTGATTTTGGTGATCTATCTCGATTTGTTGAGACGCTAGAGTGATTACAACAGACAGACGGACATGGCTATATCGTCATAGAATTTTACGCTGATCAAGAATATATATACTTTATAGGGTCGAATATGATTATTTCGATGAGACGGAAAAACAAAATTAATATACCCTCCATACTATGGGTATAAAAAGGAGGTTACAGCTAATTCGGTGAAAAATACGACAAAAACCCCCAAAAGACACAGAGACACAAAATATGTATTCACATTTAATGCTAGAGTGCTCTTACGATAGCCACTTGTGGTTTTCAGCCAAATATAAGGAAATCGCTTGAATTCCATCACGAATAATTTTTTTTTTGGAAAATTCTCACCGCAATACTTTTGTATGTTTGTAAACAATATAATGATCTGTCACTGGAATAATTTTGACAGCTGTCGGACGAGTGGCTTAGAAATGGCAGCAGTCTGAAGTTGGTTGCAGTTTTTTCATCTCACCCTGTATTGTTTGTTCCTCTTTTATGTCCTCAGCCTTATAACTCATGTGGTTTCAAGACCCATGATTCTTTGGACTATATCCGTTTCAGACAATTTGGAGGCGATTTACAAATGTCTGTCCGTCTGCCAGTCTGTCTGGATTGTGCGCATGATGACTCTCCTAGGGAGTAACCGATTTCATTCAAACTTGAATCGAGTTTGAAAATGGGAAATATCGGCACATCGATTTGGTACCTCCCCAACAATATGGTAAAATTTTTGCTGAAAATTTATTTTATAATGCGTACGGACTTTGCGAAACTTAATACGTTATATTAGCCCGTATAATGTTGCAAGATGGACCCTACCGGCCCACTTCTTTTGGTATGTCCCCCACAAAGGATAAACATTTGGAAAATTCTTTGATCAAATGACTGGAATATGCGAATATGGAAGCCAATGATCCACAGCTTCTTGTACCTATGATTTCGAAGTTGTTTGATTATGTACCGATTGAATGGATTGTCTGATTTGATCCGAACTGTGCACACCGTAATATTTTTTTATCCAACCTATATCAACTCCAAAGTAGGGAGTACTCCTTCTGGTACCATCGTTTAAAAATTTGTAAATACGAAATAAAACGAATGGAATGTCTAATCTAATGTGCATATCGTATATTTCTTAATATTTTCGCTGTATGAAGTGGCAAATCCTCCTACAAAATTTTCAATATTGATCTAACTTTTCGTACAGGCACCATATACCGGAAGACCGAATATTCAGTTTTTGAGGATTTTAGTAGCCCAACCTGAGTATCCCTAGTTAGTAATTTGATTTTTCCTAGAAGATTTTGAATCGTGAAGTGAAAACACTTCAACAAAAACTTGCGGAAGTTCTTCCACAATTGACTTACATCCTGTTTTTGTAAAATTCCAAACGAACGAATTCGAGTGACTTACGACCAAACCTTTATTTATGTTTATAAAGGTTATCTGATTCAAAACAAAAATAAATGACATATTTTTCAAAACTAAGGAGTTTGGTCGTAAGTCACTCGAATTCGTTCGTTTGGATTTTTACAAAAACAGGCTGTTACACTAGGATACTCGTGTTAGAAGGTACATGTTTTATAATTTTTGTCTTCTCGAAGTTTAATTTCAACATAATATTCTCATTGCCACATTCAGGGGGTGTTACTGGCATAAACGAATATATAATGGCTATTTTCGCAACAACATTAATTTTACCACCGTTGTCCCTCTTTTCAAATGGGAATTTGTTTGTAGACGGTTTCGATTTGTATTTTAATCCATTATGTGTTATAATAAATATAATCAAATTATAGTTTTATTTTTACAAAATATGAATGTATACCTCCATCTTTAATATAAATAAATTATAAATATTTGAATTTCATATTCAAATGTCACATACCTCCACTAATTTTACATTAGTCGGATAAAATACCATTATTTGCCAGATGCAAGTATCTCCAATCGTATCGAAGTAAAACCTTTGTATTGCGTAAGTTTTTAATATCTAATATATTATATAAGCTTTGCTTTGACAAAACCTTCTCCCCTCCGCCACTACATTTCCAACTAAATTTTTCACATGACACCTTCCCGCTCATCTACATACCTGAAATTCCTATTTTACTTTCCCATCCATAACCACTTTTTCCCTGCAAAGATCCATCCATCCACCCACCAACAATTGCAATATTTACCCATTTCAATTGTCAAGACCACTTCGGCCACTAAAACAACTGATGTGGTTCCATGCAAGTTGAATGTGACCCGTGTGTGTGTGTGTGTTTCAGGGCAAAATTGCAAACCACTAAGACCACATTAACAACATTTTTCGTTGTTGTTGCTGTCGTTTTTGTGTTATTATGGATTTTAAATTGCAAACCGGTATTGGTTGGAATCGATCAGACCAAGATATCAGTTATGCTGTGTCACATACCAATGACAGTTTGAAATAGAAATGGTTAATGTAAAATATAAATACGTGGCTGGAGGATAGTTGTGTGTATGTTTTTTAGGTTGGCATCCAACGATGCTGACCATAAAGATTTGTTAAATGGAGGTTTTAATTAGAATGGCCTAAATTGTCATTTTCACGAAATTGTATATTGATTTGAAAGCTATGAAATTGGACTTTTAACAAATGTCGAATATATTGAAGGTGGAATGGATATTGGGAATGGTTGTGTGGTTGAATGTGAAAATCGACATATGGGTTTATTAACGTTCATCATTGTGAAAAACTTGCAATTTTGAACAAAGTTTTATGTTTATTAAAACAAAAGTCAGAAGCAATGTTTCGCATACTGTGAACACTACTTAGGTGTATGATGAAGATAGGTCTTGAAAATAATTTTTAAAAAACAAAGATAGGCCTTTAAAATATTGTTTAGCAAATCCACGCCTTAAGACAGGCCTTTAAAATATTGTTTAGAAAATCCACGCCTTGAAGGCCTTGAAAATAATTTTTAAAAAACAAAGATAGGCCTTTAAAATATTGTTTAGAAAATCCACGCCTTAAGACAGGCCTTTAAAATATTGTTTAGAAAATCCACGCCTTAAGACAGGCCTTTAAAATATTGTTTAGAAAATCCACGCCTTAAGACAGGCCTTTAAAATACGGTTTACAAAATCTACGCCTAACCACAGGTATTTAAAATATTGTTTAAACATTCAACGCCTTAAGACAGATCTTGAAAATATTTTGTAAAAACAAATCCACGCCAAAAGAAAGGCCTTGATAGTATTTTTTTTAATCCAAGCCTAAAGATAGGTCCTAAAAATGTTTTTTTTTAACCACACCTAAAGATAGGTCGTATAAATGTTTTTTTTGACTACGCCTAAAGATAGGTCTTGGAAATATTTTTTAACAAATGTCTAAAGATAGGTCTTGAAAATATGTTTTAAAAAATTCACGCATAAAGACAGTTCTTGAAAATATTTTTTTTAACAAAACCATGTCATAAGATAGGTCTTGAAAATATGTTTTAAAAAATCCACGCCTAAAGATAGGTCTAGAAAAAATCTCGCCTAAGGATAGACTCTGAAATAATAAATTTAAACCAGTGGGCGGAGCAGTATATTAGGACGGGGCCGACCATACGATACCCTACACAACTTCCACGGAACTCTAACTTTCTGCGGATGTTTATTCTGAGCCTTGGCAATAGTTCGTGATATTTACACCCTCTTGCCCGATTAGAGGTCAACAGCACCTCTTCCTTACACTAACATATATTCCGAATATTGCTAATATTCAGAAAAAAAGAAAAAAAATAAGTTTTCGGTCAACTTCATCCCAAATTTTTTATGTGGTCATCACCGAAAATTATAGGCGTTGCCCTTGACCATACCTAGAACCTCATGGAAAAGTACAAAGCGATCAGCGCTATAATTCCGCCCTCTAGTGTGGTAATGGGTTACTAAATAATATATGAATACGTAAGCACCTGTAAACATTTAAGAGTAACTCCCACACCCGAGTACTTACGACAATATAAATGGCATCAATTTAAAGGTCAACCACTCCTCTTGGATATACCACCAACTTCACGGGTCTATACCCTTCAGGGGTAAATATACACGCTATAGATTATAAAATTTGTCATT